CAGGTACTTGGGATGGTGCATGCCAATTTCAGCACAAATCAGGTTGATGATTATTGACTCACTGATTCAGAGGGAAAATATGATTCTGGCCCTTATGGTTCCATAGTTATTAACACAAATTAAAATTTATTTTCATTATAGTGTCTGAAAAATGTGTTTGAGGACACATGAATAGTGGGGGTAATTTTGAACCATCCCACCAAGTTTGAGATCTCTACAACGTGCGTCTCTGACATCCAGACACTTTTGGGCAGAAAAGGAATACGCAGCTGTAGCGTCTGGACCAATCAAAAACACAATTTTTAATTAACGTTCTTAGAATTGACAGACAGTTGACCCTGAGAGGTCAAGTAAATATCTACAGCGGATCTAAATATTTATAATTAATTATAACTAGTTATGATTAATTATTCATATTTCCCTTATGAGCTGATTCGCTACACAGCAAATCAGTAGAAATACAATATGGGTTCCAGCACCTTCAGTAATTAGATTTCAAATGGCATTTGGCCGCTTTCATCGTGGCTAGAGTGTGTCTGGATCAACTAAAGTGTATTAAATTGACACACTATGCATAATTTTAGTATTTTGGAAATAAAGTTGACATCTTTCCTGCTGTAATAGTACTTATATACAGTATGTTGATTTTATTGACTGCTGAAAGCAGTCATAGATTATATGCACTTGCTGTACATTTTATCCACATTTTACGGCACACACTGTTGGCTGTGTTGGCATTCATCAATGCTTTGATAAATCAATCAATGTTCACACACAATGAGTGTCTTCCTCAGAGCTAGTTCCTAGAATAACATCAGTTTAAGATTCGGCCACTGAAGGATTCAGACATATTCCATACTGTGTTGAGTTGTCACGTCCTACAAATCCCAGGGCTGACAGCACTGCTCTGAAATGAAGGCAGACCCCCTCAGAGGAGCACTTGGCTTTTTACAAGCGCACATTTCATGAGACAAGTCTTCCTGAAGTTTTCCAGAGCTCCACCTTTAATAATCTCCCGTATAGGGACCGATATCAAGACTTTCATCATAAAGCTTCTGCTGCGTTAGCTGAACATATGTGCTTTGTCCTCGTTTAAAGACATTAACCGGCTGCATAGGAGAGAAGGGAAAAACTCTTCACCTCCACAGTTTCCTCATTATTCTCAGCGCCCTGTAAATGGATTTGTAATTACGGCCTGTCTGCCGCGGATCTTGTGTAATTGTCCTCCAAGTCGCTCAAAGAGTTTGCGGTACATTCGCTGACCGTGTCAGTATTATTTCCCCTATTGATAATGCTTGATGAAGTGCCATTACATCTCATTATTGCCCGCGCCGGCAGATACGAGACCACACAGGGCTCTTGCGCCGATGACCCCGTGCGCCTCGAGCTCATGCTGCGACCCCAAGAAAGCCTAGGTAGGCCTATTTTTCCAGCCAAAGCATGAATGCTTCAAACCAGCGGCTGACATTTCCCTCCCGCTTCACACGGTTCTATAATCTCAGTCCTCCTGCGGCGCAAAGTTCCTCAAATCAGAGCACGTCACATTGCCGCGGGGATAATATGCCAACCCACTGGCCGGTGTGCGCGCACCGCGCGTGGGCTGCCGGAGTTATGTGGAGGTGAGAAGTTGCAAAACATAGCCCCTGAGAATGAAAGAAAGAAAGAAAGAAAAAAATAAAACGGCAGAGAAGGGAAGACAGAAAATAGAGTGAATGCACTTGAGTCATGGGCGTTTTGCCATGAAATACTAAAGCGTATTGAATCTCATGCCTGCGGATTTGGCTGCGTTGAGAGGCTCGCCTGCCCGTGCCAAATGCACAAATCCGTGCACATCTGTTTGCATGTTTGAGTCTGCGCTGGCTTAATGAGATATACTCACACAGACCCGCTCCAGTCCCAGCAGCTTTAGCCCGGATCTGCAGTGATAATGTTATTCTAATTAGAAAGAACACATAGCAGCAACCAGAACCTTAGCGTTGACATGCGCTGACCTCAACAACACTTATTACAGCATCTTCCCCCCTTTTTTTTTTTTTTTTAAATGATAAAACTCACTAGATTTAGCTATATTTGTGCTTTTACAGGCATGGCTCATTGAATTTGCCACTGAATCGAGATGCCTCATATGGAAATGTAATATATGACATGTTATTCTATATCAAGAGTGGTGTTGCCGTATATGTTACTTATAATGTTCTCATACATACATATGTCTCAACAATATATATTATTTATATAGTATATGCAACTTCATTAAAACAACATATAGGCTACACAACAAATCTGTATACTTTTGATTTGATCTGTACAAATTTGATTTGAACGTACTGTAAGCACAAGGAGAGGAGAAGATTAGGATCAATGACTTGGAATACTGTACAATCCATGAGTTACATGGACTTTTGATACTTCGGATTTTATGATACTTTTGTGCAGCATTTAAGCAATTAGGTGGTGGACACATCCCCAACATAACACTTGATGGAAGAAACAAAAAAAATAGTAAATAATGACAGAATTGTTATATTGTTGAAGTATTCCTGCAAGAGCACTTGAGCTTCATTCTGAGGCACCTTTGCATGACTGCATGTAATTATTACCAGTGTTCATTAATGAAGCAGTCAGGAGCTGTTCTCAAGGACTCACTGCTGAATTTGATTGATTTTAATATTACGTTTGAGTGTGTGTATTTATGGATCCTGTCATCATCCTTTTATGAACAAAAGACACTTTGTTTTATTTATTTATTATTACTGCTTTTGACTTTTCTCAGTCTGGAAATTAAATTTTAAAATTACGTGTGTGTGTTTATGATCACAGATTATGACTAGATCTATTTGGATTTCACATTTAAAAAAAAAAAACAAGTATTTAAATAAATACAAATCTAGTAGAGTCGGTTTATATTAAGCAACGTCTTCACCTTCAATATGTGTAATTTCATTGTGTAAAACGTCTCTGAATTATTGTTTGAAAAAAATAACCTTTTTAGACTCTAGAGTCAGTATTTACTACGTCAGACACAAATTCACTGACATAAGTTCAGTCTTAACATTTCATAGACATTTGAGGAAGTATTAACAACAGTCAATAGTGAAAATGGCTTGACAAGTGCACAGCTTAATAAAAGCATACTGTCTGGGACTGTCTGTTTGGCTCAACAATGGAAGACAGCGGGAGTGTTCAGAAAACAGCTTGAAAACTTGAAAATTATTTTTCCAAAGTCCTGTTTGGTGATATAGAAATCGCACACTTCACCTTTAAGTCGAATTTAAGAATAGCTCAGTCCTAATAAATAGCAATGACATGCATATTCTCTATTACTCTCTGGTGTTGGGCTCAAATCACATTCACATATTCTCATCATGGCAGGTTTGGCATTTGATACGACGCCAAACGTCACTGGTTCTTGAGTGGTTGTTTATCAGTCACGACGCATATGTGTGAATGAGATTGGAGAGTGTTTGCCCTGTGCGGCTTTCCCTTCTCTGTGTGACCTTCTCTTACTCTGAACAATGGTGATAGGTGATTCCTTGAGCAACTTTTTTTAATGACAACAGTGTCATAGTTTGACGTGATGGGTCAGATGTGTGGGTTGTGTCTGACTGCAGACAAGGATTTAAAGGAACAGAGAACAATCTCACAATGTTCACAAACGTTATGTAAATGTTAGGACAAAACATTTTTAATACAATGCTTATGGAACACTCTTATAATTTTATTAATATTTGATATACTCCTTTCTCATTACATTGAGAAAACATTATTAGAACATTTTTTGGAGAAACCGTATTTTATTTGTACTTGAATGTTCAAAGAAACATGTCTGTAACCTTTAAATAACATTCTAATCATGACAAGAAAACTGGACTTTTTACATTCTTAAAATATTACAAATAAACATTCAAATAGCATTTTATTCTGGGTGAAAATAGAGTTAGTAGATCATTTAAGAAACATTTTGTAACCTTTCAATAACGTTCTAATCATGACAAAATAACTGGCCATTTTAACATTCCTAAACATTAAAATAAAAGAATATTTTGGTTAAATATACAATTAGTAGAACATTTAAAAAACGCTTTTGTAACATTTAGGTAAAGTTTAATCACAACAAGAAAATTGGACATTTCAACTTTTTAGAAACATCAAAACAATGTTTTTCTAACCTAAATTTGTTACCCTGGTAAATGTAAAGAAGTATCTGATACTGAAATCCAATCAGAGCCTGTGATACTGAGGATAAAGGCCAGACATGTTATGAAAGATCATGCAGAGTTTGGCTTTCCGTGTCATAAGCTTTTATACATTTTTTGATAAATCAACTTTCTTTTTGCGCTGATGTCACTTAGGCCACACGGGCTGCTGGGTAACATTCACCAGTAGCTCTATAGCGATGTAGTCATTACTTAAAGAGGTTTTCATTCAGAACTGAAGAACTGGTCACAGATAAAGACTTGAAGACTCTTGGTCACGACTGACTGTTTGACCTTGTTGTTTGCCCTGCAGGAGCAAATCTAATTTCATAATGATATTCTCATCAATGAGAGAGAGAGAGAGAAACACACAAACTGAGGCAGTTATGAAAAAGTGCTGTTTCAGAAGCTCATAATTTAATAGCCTATTAGTTGCTAGCAGTATGTTTATGATTTGTTTTTTACATGAAGTTAACTGACTGTCAAAAGTTGTTTACTGCGCTCCGGAGACAACGAGGGAATAATAAACACACTGTAGAACAGGATCTCGTGTACTTTTCATGCGTGATTGGCCTGGTAAGTGCCTGAGCAATGAACATGGTGAATTATGACAACAACACTCAACGCTAGATAACATTTCACAGTCAGATTTGTGGAAGGAAGCAAAGCAGGCTCATTAACCTCCAGACACAGCTCCGTTTAACTTTATTAACAACCAAAAACCACCAACCAGAGCAAATGGAAACGCAGACAGAGAGGACGATTTGTTATCTATTTGTCCTCAAAGGCTGTTATCATTCCTTTGATGGAACATATAACCCCGGAGATGCTGCAGAAACAGCCCAGCAGTAATATCAGCAGGTCCAGAATCCTGCGGCTCACGCCCAGCTGAGTCCATTTCAGCTGCAGGTGGAAGAGCGCTGGGAGCAGAAGCGTCATGGCCGCCCCGGTCACGCTGCCTGTGAGGCCCATGAGGAGAGAGAAATGAGGCACGCACAGTGCCATGATGAGGGTGAGGAAGAGGAGAGATCCACGCAGGAGCAGCGTCCCCCGCTCTGATCCTTCTGCAGATGAGTTGAGTTTCAGGACGCCTGTCTGCAGTATCTCTGCTGCGGCGTAGAATGGCAGAGGGTACGAGAGGAGAGCCTTTGCCAGCAGACACAGGTTCACCACCATCCGCAAAGCGGTGGGCAGGTTATCTGTTATCACCTAAGAATAAAAACAACAACAACAACAAAAACTTAAGTCTCCTTAAAGGCATAGGCTTTCCTGTAGCTCAGAGTGATAGTAATGCCAAGGTCATGGGTTCGATTCCCAGGGAACGCAAGAACTGGTAAAATGTCAAATCTGTTCCTTGAATGCAAGTTGCTTGGGATAAAAGCATCTTTCAAATGCATAAATGTAAAAATGGATAGTTCACCTGGACAGAAATGACAGTGGCCACCATTCACTTCCATGGTGTGGAAAAAGCAGCTTGGATATTTAGCTAAATGACTCCTTTTCTGTTCTACAGTAGAAAGAAGGGAGCTTATGTTCCCAGGGTCCTGTGTTAGCCTAACCCCAACCCTACACCTAACCATGGGAACATAGGACCCGTTGTGACATCATTTGTCATATAAATCTAGGGAACATGGGAATAATGTCAGGATTTTTATTTCTATCCAGGTGAACTATCCGTTTAATACAAAGCAAACTTGTCTCTCTCTCTCCATCAGCTGCTATTGTTAGTGGTCACCACAACAGAATTATCCACACATTATTTGGCACAGGTTTTACACTGGATGCCCTTCCTGACCCAACCCAGCACTGAAACCATCCCCAGAGCTGGGACAGGTTCGCACTCATGCCTATGGCCAATTTAGTGTATCCAATCCACTGCATGTTTTTAGAAGGCTGGGGAAACCAGAGTACCTGAAGGAAACCCACGCTAACACTGGGAGAACATGCAAGCTCCACACAGTAAAGACTCTTGGCTCAGCCAGGACTCAAACCTGAGAAATGTCTTGATGTGAGGAAACAGAGCTACCCACTGAGCCGCCCTGAAAGCAAAGGAAACTTGTGCTAGGACAAAGCTAATATAGTCCCAAAAACTATATAGACTAAATCAGATTTAATTCTCAATTTCGAATCTTGAATTCTCATTAGGTCAACCACTTTTGACGTCACATCAGTAATAAAACAAATGCTGTGTCCTACATTTGTCTTTTTACTTTTGAAGGAATGACGTTTCAAATGCACCTGATGTGTTGCTTTTATCTTTAGCTTGTTCGCCCATCCCTGTCCACTACATAGGACAGGAGTTTCCAATCGTGCTCCAGGAAGGCCACTAGCTGGTTTCCATACAAATTAATCTACATCAGAATTTATTCGGCAAATGTGATTCCATCTCCCATTATTCATATTAACTCTTTTTTTTCAAGAAATAAAAATAAAAACGTCTCCAGGTTACGCATGTAACCCTAGTTCCCAGAGGGAATGAGATGATGCATCGAAACGCTATGGGAACGCTTTCAGCGTGACCACGCTCTGAATCATGTGTGTAATCAGTCCAATGGATGGGCGAGACGTCACGGGCGGGGTGACGAAGTGACCAGGAAGCTTAAAAGCACATGCGGTGGATACAGTGGCAGCTTCTGGCAAATGAAGTAAGCGCTCGCAGGGATGCCGGAAGTATGGCACTGAGACGCAGTATCTCGCTCCCTCGAGGAACTAGGGTTATATGCGTAACCTGGAGACGTTCACCTTCAGGAACTCGAGCTGCGTCGAAACGCTATGGGAAAGAGTATGCCCACGCCGCCAGACTTACAAATCCCTGCCTAGTGTGGAAGAGCACAGCTAAAGTGAGAGAATGGAGGCAGGAGTGGCGCAGAATGCAGGCAGGCACCTGACAAAGTAGGCAGGGACATCCCGCCCAAAGGCCAACTTCAGAAGGAGTGAGTCTTGACCCCCAAGGAGAGGGGAGATCAGAGGACTCGAGGCTATGGAATAGTATCCGGAGGCCTCAGCTTCAGCGCACCGTGGAGGAAACGTGAAACCAGGGGGTGTCTGCCCACTGACTGGCCACTGAGAGGGGCGTGGTAGGCCACAATGGCCACCACGTAGACCTCCAAGGTGGAGTGGGTTAACCCTGTGGAGAAACGGGCCTGCAGGAACTCCAGCACTGTAGCTAGGGGAACGAGAATGCCCACGCCGCCAGACTTCCAAATCTCTGCCTAGTGTGGAAGACTGCACAGCTAGGGCGAGAGAACAGAAGAGCCCGGAGTGGCTAAAGTAGGCAGGGCTCGCCATCCCGAAGGCCAACTTCTGGAGGAGTGAATCTTGACCCCCAAGGAGAGGGGAGATCAGAGGACTCGAGGCTATGGAATAGTATCCGGAGGCCTCAGCTTCAGCGCACCGTGGAGGAAACGTGAAACCAGGGGGTGTCTGCCCACTGACTGGCCACTGAGAGGGGCGTGGTAGGCCACAATGGCCACCACGTAGACCTCCAAGGTGGAGTGGGTTAACCCTGTGGAGAAACGGGCCTGCAGGAACTCCAGCACTGTACCAACTGGGCAGTTAACTGGGTCGAGCTGGCGGTCTCCGCACCAAGAAGTGAAAAGTTTCCACTTCAGGGCACACAGTTTCATCTTAGAGGGAGCTCTGAATTGGAGGATGGTCTCAACAACCTCGGTTGAGAGACCGGAAACTACGAGTTGTGCCCCCTCGGGGGCCACACCCATAACTTCCACAGCTCCGGGCGGGGGTGAAAGATCATACCCTCTGCCTGTGAGAGGAGGTCCCTCCTGATGGGAATATCGCATGGAGAGCCGTCGAGAAGGGAAATCAGATCCGAGAACCATACTCGGCCCGGCCAGAACGGGGCTACTAGCAGCAGAAGGACCCCGTCCCGGCGCACTCTCTCCAGAACTCCCGGGAGCAGAGCGATCGGGGGAAAGGCGTACAAGGCGTACAGACAAAGCCTCGGCCACGTCTGTACCATGGCATCCAGCCCCAGTGGAGCTGAATGAGTCAGAGAGAACCAGAGGGGACAAGTGCGATGTCTCTCGAGTCGCAAACAGGTCCACCTGAGCCTAGCCAAAAAACTTTCCATACCCCGGGCCTCAGCCCCAGCCTCGACAGGATGTTTGCTCCCATAATGAGAAGCGAGAGGAGTTTGCCCTGGGACCACACAAGGATCTTGTGCGCCTGCCTGTAAATGGGGCGCGAACGCAGACCTCCCTGGTGGTTGATATAAGAGACCGCCGCTGTGTCGTTGGTGCGCACCAACACATGGCGATCTCTTAGGTCTGGGAGAAAGTGTTTCAATGCTAGAAACACGGCCAGCATCTCCAGACAGTTGAAGTACCACATGAGATGGCAGCCGCTCCACAGACCGCGGGATGAGCGGCCACTCATGACTGCTCCTCAACCGGGGAGGGACGCGTCCATCGCTAGCATTATGCGGCGACAAGGAGCTCCCAGCACTGAGCCCTGAGACAAGAACCAAGGTTTCCTCTACATGTCTAAGGCACGTAGGCACTGCCGCGTGACCTTGAGCATGCAAAGCATATTTTTCCGAAGCTGATTTTTTCCGACTGCAGTGAGGATCAACTCGATCTGAGCAGGGGACAAACGTGCCTGCATAGTGGTCGCATCCCACACCACGCCCAGATAAGTGGTTCTCTGTAATGGATTAAGCACACTTTACTTGGCGTTAAGTCTTAACCCCAGCTCTTTCATGTGAGCGAGAACGACATCTCAATGCCGAACCGCCATCTGCTCAGATTGAGCTAATATCAACCAATCGTCGATGTGGTTGAGTATGCGGATGCCCTGGAGTCATAGAGGAGCCAGAGCAGCATCCACACACTTCGTTAAAGTGCAGGGTGAGAGTGAAAGGCCAAAAGGAAGAACCCAATGGCCCCCAAAAGCCACCTCAGGAACTTCCTGTGATGGGGAAGGATGGAGATGGGCCGAGCTCTAGGAGTGGAGGCCTCAGCATAACAACTCTCTAAAGCGAGAGGAGGCCTCTACACCCCACGCTAGCTTAAACTCAGACTGTCACAGCGGAGCTCTGGCGAACAGAGGCCTCAGAAACTCTCTGTAGCGAGAGGAGGCCTGACGACACTCGCAGAAAAACGGCCACTCTTGGAGTGGAGGCCTCAACATGACAACTCTCTAAAGCGAGAGGAGGCCTGACGACACTCGCAGAAAAACGGCCACTCTTGGAGTGGAGGCCTCAACATGACAACTCTCTAAAGCGAGAGGAGGCCTGACGACACTCGCAGAAAAACGGCCACTCTTGGAGTGGAGGCCTCAACATGACAACTCTCTAAAGCGAGAGGAGGCCTGACGACACTCGCAGAAAAACGGCCACTCTTGGAGTGGAGGCCTCAACATGACAACTCTCTAAAGTGAGAGGAGGCCTCTCGCAGCGCAACCCTCCATCCTTCTTTGGAACGATGAAGTAACAGCTGTAGAACCCGGACTCCATGTCAAGAGGAGGGACCACCTCGATGGCCTCCTTCCTCAAGAGAGTGTTTACTTCTTGTTCCGTTACCAGAGCCTGCTCAGGGCCCCACCAGAGTGGGAATCATGGAAGAGAACCACGCTGGATTCTGTAGCCTCTCTCTACAGTGTGCAGGACCCACCGAGACACATTTGGCAGTAGTTTCCATGCTGCCAGATAGTCTACTAAGGGAATCAGTCTCTCGAGACTGACTTCTGGTGTAAACAGAGCGGCTAGGTCGGTGCCCTAGTGGCGAACCAGCAGGGGACGGCCGAACTAGTTACTCTAGAGAGCTCCGAAGACGTAGCGAGCCTCTTACTAACTGAGAGTTAGTACTGACTGAGAGAAGTGCTCGCCGGAGACCACTGCGCCCTGAAGCACCGTAAGTGGCAGGGTTGGCAGACCGATCTGTTGAGGACACTTAGGAGAGACGGGCACCGTGTAATGTCAGTGTACAGGAGCAGGACCCAATGAGGCACGCTTGGCAGGGTCTCCCACACCACCAGGTGACCTACTAAGGGAACCAGTCTCTCAAGACTGACCTCTGTACACCG